TGTGTTGTTTAGTAGCTGGATGTCGGTTGTACCCATTGGATGTCATGCTAACTGCATGTTGCTTATCCCACACATGCACAGCCGGATAAGTGGTTTAAGCAGGTCGGTTGCTTATGATGCCGCCTGTATAAGCATGAGGCAAGTATGACCGCATGATGCCTGTAGCACTAGACCTTTGGTCTCATGGTGCCTGTTGTTCTTGACAGTTGGCTTGATGACGCCTGCATTATTCGGCGGTCTAGCGCTTTCACACCAGAAGGTTATTTGTTTGAGAACACAGAAGGTTGTTCCCCAAGGCTTTTGCAGACTAAGCTGCTAGTCCTAATGGATATTTTTGCCGCCTGACCCCTGAACAAGGGTCGGGTGCATACATGACTGTCCACACGGCATGTATGGCTGCTGAAGCGCAAACTGTGCCGAATGGATTATCTGAGGGCTAGAAGGGACGGCCAAGCCGCCTGACTACCCCCCTCGGTTTGATTATGAATGCCTCATTGAGGTGTTCTAGAAGCTGTCTGGGTAGGTCGACGTTTAAGCCAGCTCAGACATTTAGGATAGGGAGGAGGTACTCGGTCTTTGACCTCGACCGTAGGCCGCCTCCTATCAGCAGGCGGTACAGACTGCTGTGAAGCCATCTCAGTGGTACTATCCCCACAGACGGCGCCAAATGCTTCGGGGTTTTTTTTATGTGTCCTGCGGGAGAGTTACAACACCAAGACTAACCTCGGACTGCCTGTACCTGCAAAACAACGGAGACTCCCAAGGGAGTTCCGCCTCCGACGATCAATTTAGAATGTGTATGAGGAGTGTAGTGCGGAATGTAAATACTTCTCTCTGATTCAGAGAGAATTCTGCAATGAATATTACTCGGTTTTTGTGTGGGTTGAATGTGTATTCAATGTATGTTGTTTATAAATGAGGATGGTTCCTCTATTTATAGGGAAGGGGATCAGTTCCCCTTCTAGAGTTTAGGTGACACGTGTCAGTAGAGGGTTGGATCCCTTTGGGCCTTTCTAAGGCTGACACGTGTCAGCATGCTATTGGGACACGTAATGTATTAACATTGGTCCATTTGTCAGGGGTATTTTTACCCCCAAACAGCATTCATCTCCCCTGTGATCACATTTTCTATCCCTTCAAGAGCTTCCTGGAACCCTGTCGGAGAGCTAGTGGCAAAGAGATTCTCAAAGTAGGCTGAGATTAACCGTTCCAGATCAATCCGTTGCTCAAATCATTCACCATCCTCACCCCACAACCCTACAATTCTGTTTTGAGCTTTCCTTTAGCTTGCCTTAAGATGAAAATATTTTGTATTTTTGTCCCCATTTCTAAGTTCATTAGCTCGAGCTCTGGCACGCCAATATGATTCCTCCAATTTATGCACAGTTTCAAGCTTTACAAACAGCTCATTGCACCTCTCAAGTTTCCCACCATCCATCGCTCCTTCTCGAATTTTTTTCTCAACTGTTTTGATTTTCTTCTTCACGGATCCGAAAGTGAGTGCCGCCCATGATGCTAGGGCCTCACTACACACTGCCAATCTAGTCATAATATTCAAACCCACCCCCTCACTCCATCCTTTCACAACCACCGACCCACGATTTTCATTTGAGAACCAAAGAGATTCGAACTTGGAAGCATTACCACTACAAGAGTCCGCACTTTTCTTCACTGTAGGCAAAATAATGGGAGCATGATCCGAGTTTGACTTAAAAATCGGCAAGTTGTTGACTTAAAAATTCGGGAACAAAAGACACCACTCCTCATCAGCCAAAAATTTGTCCATCCTCTCTCTTACAAAAGTCGCCATAGTGTTACCTCTTTCCCAAGTGTAGATACTCCCCTTAAAACAAAGGTCCCGAAGAGAACACCTATCAACCGCATTTCGAAAAGCATCCATGAGCCTCTCGCTCCTTAGTGTCCCACCTTCTTTCTCCGACAAACTAACAATTTCATTGAAGTCACCAAACATGATGCATGGTACATTGCAATCCGCTCTAAGATCAGACATAAGTGACCAAGTCAAATGTTAAATAGCTTGTTCCGGCCAACCATAAATCCCAATTGCTCTCCATTTCGCGGAATTATTTTCATCAATAATATCAATAGCAAAATGGTTCATAAAGTAAGAGACAATATTCACATTCACATCCTTCCACCACATCCCAAAACCCCTCGAATTACCCATACTACTAATACAAACACCATTCGTATATCCGCATTTATTTTTTATTTTATTAAGTCTTTTGTCATCTATCATAAACTCCATAACAAAAACAATATTTGGCCTATCTCTCCAACACAAATCTTGGAGAGCTCTACCTGTCCACGAGTTGCCAAGCCCGTGGCAATTCCAGCTTAAGATTTTCATTGCTTTTTAAGGGCTTCGACATCCCCAAGTCCCTCTACTTTATTTGCAGAAATTTGTGAAATACAAACGGAATCACCAACCTTTAATTTTTTATCTACATAAAAGCTACCAGCCTGCTCCTCGAGGCCAATAGCTTCTGCCCTTCTCTTGCGTGACTAGACCCCCTCACCACGACCTTCTGAAGTGTCCATATCAGTAGCTTCGTTGGTCGACAGCTTCTTTCGATAACCTCTCTTGCCCTGCACCCCTTGCACTACATTCTCGGCCTTCCCCTTCACACCTTCGCCAGAGCTCCCAACGGTTTCACCTTCAGCGGCAAACAAAATCCCATCCTGGCTAGGCACCACGATTGGAGTTGACTGCCTCTCCTCATTCACAGACACAAGGCGCAACACCATCTCAGTACTTCCTTCCACAGCCACCGCCTTCAATGTGATTGCCCTTTCCTTCGGAGGAGTCATAGCATGAGCATTTGGAGAAGAAAATAGTAGCTTCCTAGCAGCCCTTGGTGGCCCAAGTCTAATTCCTTTAGGGTTATTATAGTTGGTTTTTTGTACTCTCCCCCTTACAGCCAGTCAGCCATGTTATCCAGCCATTTCTTCTCTTTCTTCCTCTCCAAAACAGCAGCACGAGTTCTTTGAAGAGGAGAAGCAGCCAAGAAGGGTCTGTATTGGAACACAATAGGTGAGTCTCCTTCCCTACATTCTTTCACATCACAATCTTATCATTGTGACCAATCCGTCCACAATAATAGCAAAAGTCACCCAACCTATTGTACTTAAATTCGACCCACTTAGTAGTATGGTTATCAACAACAACCTTTAACCCCCGTCGAAGAGGTTTCGTAATATCAATCATAACTTTGACCCTTAAAAACTCCTCCCACCTAAGAGGGTCGAAGTCATCCACCTCCAAACATTCACCAATATAGTCACCTACCTTCCGTGCGAATTGCACATTACGCTTACCAAACGGTACATCGATGAGACGAATCCAGAAAGGACACGAATTGAATTCAACCTCTGAAGGTTGCTCATCCGCCTTAGGTTCTTTCAGCAATAGAATTTGATTGTCAAACGCCCAAGGTCTCCCCTCCATCACCTTGTTTTTATCATCAATGTTGAAAAATTGAAACACAAATAAATTAGTATCAATCGTGCGTACAGCCACATTATCATCAATACGACACAAGTTTTTCAAGACCCTTTTCATGGCTTCAAAGTTGAAAGGCTTCTTTGTCAAAAGCTTTCCTACCAGGGATAGGGCAATCTTTGAATTTGCCCCATCGACCACCGCAGCATCACTCGAACCACCAAACACAAAATTTTCGTCTTCTGTCAGTTTCAATCTTTCCCACTCCTTCACCAATTGGTCATCCATAGTGAATCAGGAACACAATAAAATACTCATAGGGAAAATCGCAGAAAAAATCGATCAGAATTGCTTAAAAATACTAGGGATATTGAACCCTAGCAGGGACTCTCGCTATCGCACTTCTCACCCTACGCGAGGGACTCTTAAGTTTATTACTCAAAGCTTTTAGATAAACAATTTCACTTTTTTTACCGACTATTTATTAATTAAAGCACACTATTTTTCTATTTATTTTTATTCAATTAAACTAATTCACTATCATGAATTTTTATATACATTTTAAATTAACAAAATCATTTACTTCTTTTTTTTAAAAAAAATAAAATAAAATTCACCTATAATTAATTAAACCCTAATATATACAAAGTATTTTGTATTTTTTATTTATTTACCTTCCTAAAAACATGTATTAAAAGACAAATAAGAATTTTGTTTGGGGGACAAAGGGAATATTTTTGGTCATACTTAAAGTTGGAGATGGCCAAGAAAAACTCACATATGAGAGGAAAAGGAATGAGGATATATATGGGTATGAAGTAAACTCTTCGTATAATTTTTTTTAACTATCATTGTATTAATTTGCTACGTAGTAATACCATTGGACTTGCTTGTGGTTAGGATTTTCTCTATTGTGAGTTTCGTTTAAAGCGGGCATGAAAAAAGCATGGCACAAACACGAGCACGTGGTTGGCAAGATATGAGTTTTTCTCATGTCTTGAACATCATTGGAAACATTGGAGTTGCATGAGGTCTATTGTAAATTCTGTTCAAATATGAGATGAAAAAAACTAGCATGACATAAAATGAGCACGAGGTAAGCAAGACATTTTTATTTTTGAAAGAGTGTGAGAAAGGCTTGGTACATTACAACAAAAACAAATTAATTTGGCTTAAATACATGCACATTCAAGACACAACATAATAAAATGACATATGGACTTGGGTTGTGTTTGGTCTATCCTTTTAAAAAGTTCGAGACAAGCTAGGCTTTAGGCATATGGGTCTGATATGAGAGATACCTACAACTATCTTTAATTGAGTATGGTGGAAATCCCTCGATACTTTTTATAATTTAAATTAAAAATACGGAGATTAAGGAATATCAGTTTATTGTTTATGTTCATGAAGATTGATTATCAATAAAAATTCATTTATATACGTAGTGCCAACTAAAAATCTAATATTATTGGGTTGTTATAATCATGCTATTGTAATAAATCAAAGTATTTTTTGTTTTTTATTAATTTTGTATTTGTATATTTGGGGGGAAGGACGGAAATGATGAGTGGTGAGCCCATGAAAATGCACAGAAACGCACTAACTCCCACATGACACAACAAAGCACGCACACTTCAAGGGCAAGAAAGAAAACACAAAAAGAAGCACCAATAATCCAAATAGTCTTCAACTCATCATAACTTAAGGGAAACAGAGGGGCATGTGTCTGATGTCCATTATACATACGCGTGTACTTTTTAGAACGCTCGTTTACATAGTACATAATCTATATCGGGTACTTTTACACTCTTTTACACTCGAGTATATAATGAAAATTCCGAGATAAGGCGATGAGGTGTGTGAAATGAAAACTAAAGGGCACTAACAACAATAATATCCCATCAATTAAGAGTGTGAACCCAATATAGTTCAGTTGTTTTCAAATCTAAGCACTTACCAGTCAATAGTAGTGGCACTCAATTTTATTTGATCACAACAACTTCTTCTAAGTTCCCTGTGTATATCTCTTTATCCTTCCTTTCTATACAAGAACACCCACCTGAAAGATCTAGAACTGCTCTTAGGTGCAACATTAATCAAGAGGATTAGCACTCGAAATCGATCGAGGATGGCAAAATACAGCTAATTTTTTACAAGAAAAATGGGTAATTGTTGGTTTAGATGGGAGCATGATTCAATCTACACAGTCTCTTCAGATCCCAAACCAGGTTTTTTTTTTTCTTTCTTTGTTCTTTGTTTCAAATCTAATTACTTTTATTTCTTTCTTCATTTCTAGTCTCTTATTAAAATGATCACGAAAATTTATGTACGAGTGTATAGTATACAACAGTCACCCAACCTCTTGTGAAAAGGGTTCGATTCTTACGGTAGCATGGGGATTGGAGGAATGGGGTGTAGGTGTTGCTTGGTTGGGCTGATAACCCTGAGGTACGGCCCGTGCCCACGTGTGCTTGTCAAATAAAAGCAATTGTCACCTCGAAGTTATAAAATTGTTATTTTAACGCGTAGTTAAATTTTGAAGTGACTTTTGTTAGATTTGGGGGTGGCTTTTGGACAACAAATGAAATTTTGGTAAATATGTACCGTTGTATACAATACAGTCGTACACAAGACTTATGCGACGAATGAGCTAGTAATAACGTGCACGAAATTTTCAGATTCATCAACGCAGAACGACGTTGTGAAAGAGAGTAAATTGCCTTCTAACGCTAAGGAAGTAGAGGATTTACGTGGCCGCGATTCAGTGACAAATCCACTCCTAGTTTTCACCTTCCAAGAACTAAAAATTATCACTGAAAATTTTAGACCAGATCATTTGTTAGGAGGAGGTGGTTTTGGAAGTGTTTTTAAAGGTTTCATTTCAAAAGATTTAAGAGATAGCATTCAACCAATTCAAGTAGCCGTTAAGGTTCACGACGGGGACAATAGTTACCAAGGTCACAGAGAATGGCTGGTAAGTCATATACTCCCTCTGTCCCAAAAACGTGACTACATTTAACGTGTGAGAAAATAATAATGGGTCATATTTAACTTTTCGGGTTTCAGGCCGAAGTCATATTTCTTGGACAACTTTCGCATCCTAATTTAGTGAAGTTGATTGGATATTGCTGTGAAGAGGATCATCGTGTGTTGATATACGAGTATATGTCACGAGGCAGTGTGGAGAACAATTTGTTTTCAAGTAAGCTTTATTTGTACCATGTAAATTACTTTGTTTAATAACTAAAATATAGAATAATTAGTTGTTTGTAATTAGTCATTTAATATGAGTTAGTTGCAATTAGATATAATTAGAATTTAGGTGTCTAAACTGTCTATTAAACTAGGTGTACCTAGAGCTAGGTAGTCAATTAGGTACACCCAACTCCCAAATAAGCAATAATACGGTTCAATTTTTGCTCATTTGGATAATCATTTGGAAACTGAAAATTAGTAGAAATTTTTGCTCATTTGTATATAAAATGAGCAATTCAAAAATAAAATTTTGAACTCAAATGAGCATAAAAGCATAAATTTTAATTTGCTTGATTAACCTATATTTTTTTTAGATTGCAATTTTATGATTATGCATGTGTAATTCAACATTTGTAATTATATAGATAAAATTGTGATGATATGCTTATTGTGAATGACTGAATGTATCCTTGATAAACTTGGATTATCTTTTTCATAAATGTAAATTGCTGCCAATGTACGCAGAGTCCAATTGTAAGGATTCAAATGTGCATCATAAAAAATAAATACACATTTATAATATTTCCTGTATTTTTTAAATTGTTCTACTTTGAGTGAGGACATATATTTCAATTCGCAACTTGGTCACTATAATACTCGGCTTTTTATTTCGAATCGATCGTAATAGTAGATTAGACACATATTATTAAAATTAAAAAAAAAAAAAAAAAAAAAAAAAAAAAGGGGGGGGGGGGGGGTAGGGAGCAAAGGAGGAATCTAATAAGTTTTCTAGTGGGGTATATTTAAAAAGTAATATAGAATAGAGGGAGTATGAAAATATACAATTAAATTACAATTTTTTTATAGAATTTTTTATTTTTTTATTTTTTTTGTTTTAATACGAGTACACAATTTTTATATTTTGAACAACATTTAGACTAGTAAATAAAGTTATGCACAAATTATTCCCCTCACTCGGCCTATCCAAATGAATAACATAAAATTTAGACAAGTCAATATTAACCCATAACTTAGTTCACCAGCATAATTGTATATATTTAACTCATAATAACATATAATTTTATTATAGGAGTATTGCTTCCCCTATCTTGGGGTATCAGAATGAAGATTGCTTTTGGTGCAGCAAAAGGACTCGCTTATTTACACGATGCTGAGAAGCCTGTCATATACCGAGACTTTAAGACATCTAACATCTTGTTGGATGAGGTGGGGAACTTACGTTTTAATAATACTACACTATGTTTTCTATCTTTACCTTACAAATGTGCTTAATTTCACACCCTTATTTACTCCGTTCAACATTCATATATACATTACAGGATTACAATGCAAAACTCTCGGATTTTGGCCTTGCTAAAGATGGGCCTGTTGGCGACAAGTCTCATGTCTCCACTCGTATAATGGGAACATATGGATATGCAGCTCCGGAATATATCATGACAGGTAAACTGTCAATGTATGACTATTAATTCTGAACAAAGGGAGTATTGGTTATTAGTTTATTACAGTGTTATTAAACAAGTTACTGGTGGATGTGTAATTGCAGGTCACTTAACTCCTAGGAGTGATGTTTACAGCTACGGTGTAGTCTTACTTGAGCTTCTCACAGGAAGGAAGTCATTAGACAAGTCACGACCAGCAAGAGAGCAAAACCTTACAGACTGGGCTATTCCTTTACTTAAAGAGAAGAAAAAACTACTTAACATCATAGATCCTAGACTTGGAGGAGATTATCCTGTAAAAGGAGCACAAAAGGCAGCCATGTTAGCCTATCATTGCTTGAATCGCAACCCCAAGGCTAGACCACTTATGCGCGATATAGTGGACTCCCTTGAGCCTCTTCAAATCGATGACAATGAACCTCAAATTTTGAATGGTCAAACCACTTTGACTTTCCAAGCCGAGGTTCCAAAAACTATCTAGTTACATGTACAATACGCTGAGGTTTGTCGTCTGTGACATGTAGTCTGTTGATATATTTTCTTTTTATTAAGGACAATGAGATGTTATGAACTAGGTATCCTTCTAAGCAAGGTTTTAGCTAATTTATCATCGATCATAGTAATTGGGAGGTGGAATAGTTGATTGATGTACTTGTTTGAAAAGTTTTTGTATTTTTGGCTTTATAAAACCTTCACAATTTGTCCTTAGTTTGTATGTATTAGGATCTTGTACTAAAAGCCTGATATTATTCTAAAATGATAATCTGATTTTCATTAAGCTAATTTGTGTACAGGATATTGCTCTAATGCTCTCACTGTGTAATTAATCAATCTAACAAAATAGACTGTAGGCTACATGAAATCGGTATGCTACAATATTTCATTTTTTATGCAGAATAAAGTTTGATCTTAATTTAGAGTTGCTCACCATGCCAAAAGAGGGCACACCAGATGAAATCTTAAGCGCTTACATTTTTATTTTTTTTATTATTAATTTTTTTTTTTAAGGTGGTAGCCGATGGTGATAGCCTGATAGGCTATGTACTAAGTCTTACAAAAGAGGAGAAAACATGGACAAGAGGGAGGGAGATAAGTATCAAAGATGGTAATTAGATTGTGACAAAAGAGTTGTGTCGAGTTTTATGGTAGCAAAAAGGGTTGAGTTTTATAATTGCCAAATAAGTCTACTTCAGTTAAATCATTGCTCAACTCCCAAACGGTGAGTCCCAAGTTCCTAACAGTATACTCAACTCCTTCACCTGCCTTTGGCCGTTTGGGTGCACCTAATTCTAGAACACCGGAGTTCATAATTGTAGCCTTAAATATAAATATTGCAAAGGTGAAATTTAGCTAGAGCGATATCTATACCCTAGGGATCAAGCATCATAAGCTGGTGTTCGCTGTTCAGCCTATTCTAGTTACATACAATCATACTTCAATCTAGAATAAACACTGCTTCACGAGTTTATATTACAAATCACATTCCACAGCCCACGTAAAAGATCCCCACCACCCCCAAACACCCTCAAAGTAAAAAATAACCCTTAAATTCCATAAATACTAAATCCCATTCCTTACCTTTCTTGCATCAACATGCTACATAACTAAAATAGATTTCAGCCATCATCTACTCTACACATTCATGGGATCTGGAAGACCATGTACTCTACCACTGCCCATCAGCAACAAACAGACTCTATCTCACCTCATGATTTAGAACCACATGTAACAACATGTGACTTGAATTCTTCAAGCTCTGCTAAAACCTCTTCTTCTGGTCGGTAAATTAGATCACTCATACGCCATATCTGCAGAAAAAATCATGTAAGAAGACATCAGGGTTTCTGTTTAAAGCTAACAAAATTATGTTAGTTGAATGATGTGGTAAATCAGATTATCAGAAGACTGATACAGCCTCAAATTAATTGTAGATTTCTGTCACTTCAAAGCAAAGGACTTGCTGGCTCCTTTAGATTAAGGCTTTGACTGAATAAAGCCAAAGTACTAATGTAAAAAAGGGCTTGTCAATAGCTTGAGTATTAATTTAGGTCTAGCAACAAAGTGGGAAATTAATTTATATTTAGGCTGATGCGGCAACGTCATGCTTCAACTTAAATGAAAACTAAAACGCATTTCTTTCTCTCTTTGAATATGGTCGTTTGGTTCATTAGGGAAGTGAAAATTCCCATGAAATTTCAATTTGTAAGAATTAAGTTCCTTCATCAAAATCATGGGAATTCATCAAATTTGTTTGGTTGAAAATGGAGGAAGTAAATTCCCATAGGAATTTTAACTTACCCGGGGGAGGGGGGGGGGGGGCGCAAGTAAATTCCCATGTTTTGATGGAAGGAAAAACTCCCATGAATTGTCATTGCCCCCATTTTCACTTTTTTGTGTCAACCAAACAAGAAGTCCAAAATGAAATTCATGGGAATTTTGAATGCCCAAGAAATTAAGCCAACCAAACAACACCTTTGAATGAGCTAATATCATGATTACGGTCATGAGAATCACGAGTCATGAGTCAGGACATCTAGTGCATATGTAGCAATCAGAGATGAAAGGTACCTGTAGAGTTCCACCGCCGCCACTAGAATCACAGTCATCAGAAACACTCACAATAGTCCAAGCATCATAGGTATTCCAATGAAAATCAACCACCTTATCCCTGTATATAATTCAGAAAAGCAAATTTGCTCAGTTGTAAGGCGACCTCATCTATTAGAACAAACACAGCAGTCAGAAAACATACAAAATACTTTTGAAAACAAAGGCTAATATCAAATTTGCATCAAAAGCTTTTTTAGGATTAGCATTAGACAGAACCATGAACTGTTAAATTTTTTATAAAGACTTGATGTCAATTATTCTACAAGATGACAATACAAACTTATTAGCAGAGAAAATCGTTTAATGGAACATGTAGAAAGATTTGATGAACAAAAAATTTCCGAGTCTTTAAAATATCCTATAAACACAAAAGAAATGAAAATATCAACATGTAGAAACATATTAAGGAAAAGCCAAACCTGTGTCCAGCATGCTGAAAAAAGAGACCTGGAGGAGCATTCGGTGTTCTTACCCCACGCTCTTTCTTTTTACCAACCTGGAAAAAATAGCAGAGGGTATATCAAAGAAGTTGTACAAGTGGTACAAAAATGCAGAAACAACAACCAAAAAAAAAAAAAAAAAAAAAAGGAGGCCAGGATATAATAAGATGAAATGCTTGAAATATCTAAGTTTTATTAAGTATTGTAAAATCTTAACTATGTCACTAATTCACGATCGGATAACCCTTTAATAACACACGCCAAAAAATTATAATATCAGCAAAGCACAGAAATCTCAAGACTTTGTTCTATCTGGCTTATTTAGTCTCAAATTACCTAGTCTGAATTTGTTTTAGCTTTGAACTTTAACTCGTATTATTTGAATATCTGAGTTATATGACTATATCCGACTCATTTGTCTGAACTTTATTACATAAATTTAAGTTAATTCCACTGTGGCAGAACTCATTTGTGAGTGTGTCAAAACTTATTATTTGTGGAACTTATCTGAACTTTATTCCCAAGAAACAATATAACCAATGCACAAGAGTCCCATGGTTATTCTTACACTAGATCTATGACTTAAATAGATGATGTACTTGCCATGGTTGGTATGTATTCAAAAGTCAATTTCATATAATCTTCAGACAGATATTAGCAGATGTTCATAGTTATTAAAAGAAGGAAAGTGGGGACACTGGGGCAAGAGAGAATTCAGCAATTGACAAATACAATAAGCACTAGAATATGAAATCAAAAGCTAGAACCCTGGCATATTTCTTTTACTGTGAGCAACTTTCAGCACATAAGTTAAACCACAAGTCCAAGCAACTAAACTAATTCCTATCTCCTGAACTCCTCTGCCTATAGTTGTTTTATCCACAGGTCTCCAAAAACATTACAAGAGTAAATGCTAATTTTCTTTACCTTCTCATAGTCCCAAATGTTGAGAACACCATCCTCTGCAGCACTTCCAAAGACAGTTGGATTGTCAGGAGACCACTGAAATTAAGGATGTGTTAAGAACAGAATTTGCAGGATTATAGAATGTGGTTACAAACATTATGCGAAAAACATTTAGAACCTGGACACAAAGAACTGCAGCTTTGTGGCCCTCAAATTTGTGAACAGGTGATCCTACTCCGTCAGAAGTAAGATTACGCCGGTCAAACATACGAACAGAGCTATCAGCAGATCTGAAGAAAATAACACAGAAGCCATGTCAACTCCTACAATAATAAAAGGGTTATTACTGTTATCTAGCAAGGGTAAGGCTGTGCATATTTTGACCTCCCAGACTGACCTACGAAGGGATCAAACTATATTCCTATCCTTCTTCTCATATGAATATATAATAGATGAGCATATCTCATGTATAAATGAAGCAACCTAATACTTCACCTGTTCACTAAATTGCAACACGTTGACTTATGCAATATTCACGTACTTTACTCTGACTAACTTTTATGATTTATGGTTATGGAAAAATAGAGTCATGTGGGATCTTGTTAGATTTGCCTCATTTCATACTTTCAAGAAAAATAATAATTATACACTTATTGATATATAAAAATATTAGAGATTGAAATAATGCATTGTCAAGCGTGAAATGAGAAGTGTTACATTTTAGTGAAACAGAGGAAGTACAACATAAACGGAAAACTCAGTGATGCAGAGCATACCCTGTGAGGATGTAATTTTCATCAAAAGGATTCCAGTCAACACAGTGAAGATCGGCATTATGAGCCTTCTCAACCTGTCAAATTCAGGACCAAAGCACCAAGTCATGTAACAAATAGAATCAGAGTTAATTACATATAGTAATAACAAAATTTAAAAGATAAGTTTAGACTTAAAATAAACATATAGTCTATTTAGTTGAAAGGGTAGAAAATCCCTTGAAAATCACTATCACAATAGCATCAATTAAGGGAATTTACAATAGCATTAGATCACCATTAATTTATATAAAATTCTTACTGCTGAGGTCAAATGGAAATTTCATCAATTGGACCAAATTAGAATAGCATTTGTCATTCAAGTTTGTAGCTCAAAAAAGTAAAGATACATTTTGAAATCTGCTATTATACATGGTATATGATACTTCCTCTGTTCCACAAATATTGCAACAAGAATGAAATTACGCATCCCAAAGCACATTTTATATGTTAAATATCCATAATTATATAAGAGTAAAAATTATAAAAAGTTAATATTGTGAAAGTATTTTACGAGACGAATCTAACAAGACCCCACAAGATTATATTTTATTTTACGTATAAATCATAATATGTGGTCGAACAAGCGTAATGAATAGTACAAAAGTCCAGTTGTTGCAATATTACTAGAATGGAGGAAGTATTATGTATGTGCCTGTGTGCATGTATGCATGTTTGTAACTATAATAAAATAATCAAGTCCGGCTAAAATCACCAAAAAAAAAAAATTAATGACAATTCTACCTTAATGGCTGGATCAGACCCGGTCCGAGCATCCCACAGTATAAGGCAAGAGTCATCTCCAACACTACAGAACTCCTGAGAGCTTCAAGATAATTGCAATAGAGTCAAAACCAAATGATGACACTGCAAAACTCAAGAGTCCCAAATTTTGTATAAATTTCATAGGCAGCAATTTACTAATAACATAAAATTGGAAAATCACCTTTTTGGACAAAATTGCACATCTTCCACAGTATCTTCATGGCCTTGAAAGATACCTCGAGGTCCAACAGAAGGGCT